GGGGTCTCCCCCCCCCCCCCCCCCGGCCCGAGAAGCCACAGCTCCATCCCATGCCCACCTCACCCCGGCTGGGCAGCACTTGCCCCAGCCCCACTTCTCCCTCACTGTGGGGCCTTAATATGCCCCTTCCCTTCCCTTCTACCACACCAGACTGACCAGCTGCCTGCAGCTCTCTAAGCTGCTGGGCTGTGATCCTCGCTGCGTACATGCTGTGCTGCGGCTGCGTGCATGCACGAGCATTTATCGGCCTAATTATCAGGCACATCAGGTCAATTTTTTTTTTCTCCCCCCCCCAATATGATCCATTTTCTTTTTATTGGTGCCAATCCAATATTGGACCTGTGCGTCGGTGCACCTCTACAGACAGTACATGTACACTTATTAGCACAGAAAACAAGTATTTAAGTACAGGATGCTTAGCTGTTGTAGGTACCAAGAATGATAAAAGTACTGCCCTTTTAAAAGTGCATCTTATAATTTTTAACACCTAGATTCTAGCCAGAATACGTACGTATTACAAATTTAAAGTTTAAACTTTTGTCACTCAAGCACTCCATTGTTTTCTATCTTGAATACATGTTGTCTATCATAGTATGCATGCACTTGTTTTCTGAGGTGTGCAAAGGTTTTACTTTTCATAAGGCAAGAGATTACTTGAAAAAAAGAAATGCATTGCTGGACCTCTGAAGGTAAGACCTTGAATATTTTAGGAATACCAGTAAGCAAGCTGATAGAAATCTGAGGTGGAGTGAAAGATGGTTTTGTGGTTAAGGCATCAGGATGGGTCTCAAAATATCTGTGTTCAGTTCCTGCCTCTGCCATAAGAAATTTTATGTGCCATTAGACAGTTTGCTTTCTCTCTAACAGTCCCCTTTCCCCAATTTGTAAAAAGGAGATGATGTTTCCATACTTCCTACTTTTATGAAGATATGCCCATAAGATACTTGGAACATGCCAGCACTATGGTGATGGGTCTTAATAAAAAGCTATTCTGCATATATTATTATATCATATAATAGTGGGTGTACACTGTGGGAGACTGTTGATGACAGATGGGGGGTTGGGTGAAGTGTGCTGAAGTTGCTCAGGGTAGGACTTTTCTTCCATTTCCATCTAGCTTTCCTTTGAATTCTGAGCCAATTGTGTATTTTAGGCATGTGAAACACATGGCTTGCAGGCTATCATTGGGTCATGGAATTTGGGAGAGTGCCTAGCATAGGTGGCAGAAGGGAGGCACTAACGAGACTTATCTCCCCCAAATGTAGGGCAGTGGTAGGGCCACAAGGCAGCCCAGCTGTGGGCTTCTGGCAGCTGCAGTAGGGATGAGGGAGGGGAGTGGGGCTCGGCCAGGGGCAAGCACTGCACAGCCAGTGGGGCATGGGACAGCTGTGAGCATCTCATCCGGGGGATGCGGCTCCTGCCACTGTGCACACCCAGGAAGAGCATGTGTGAGCGTCTGCCCTCCAGATCTATGTGGGGCAGCAGGGTGGACTGCAGCTGTGCTGGGCTCTTCCCAGCAGGGGGCTGGACCAGGCTGTGCTCAGGGTGCACAGCGGTGGTGCTGGGAGGGAAGCTACGGGGGGCTGCAACAACTCAAATTCCCCATATTTCCCCCCAAGCCTCCTTCCCAGCGTCACTGCCACCCACCCTTAGTGCAGCACAGCCCCGGGCCCAGCCTGCAGCCACAGCTCTTCCCGCACAGATGTGACACAGCTCTTAGCTACATGGGGGCTGAGTGAGAGCTGTGTTGCTGTAGCTGTACTCACCTTGGAGCTGCTCCACCCACTGCTTCTTGTGCTCCCTCCACCAAATCAAGCACCTACTTGGCCAGTAGGTGCCACCCCTGTAAAATTTTAGTTTGGTGTCTTTAAACTGACATTATTAAGAAGGCATTTTTGCATGTTTCTGTGCTGCATTTACATTTATAAGTACAAATTACATTTAACCTTGCAGTATTTTACATTTCATCAATACTAGTTATTTAGGACCAAATTTTGTCACCTTTATTTCTATTGATTTAGTTCCTTATTTTGCAGAACATCCTGTAGAAATCAGTGGGCCTGCAAAGTTGTGTGAAGTACCTACTCATTGTAGGTAAAAGTGGCAGAATCTGGCTCTTTAATATAAGATACTACTGTTTGTAGAAGATGTTTTTATCTCATTTAGAATGTTAACAAACGCTAATTGCACTTTTTTTTTTACTTTTTTAGGTCATGTTTACTGGTGACAATATTCCTGTTCATCCCCATGTGTATAGCAATGGTCATATCTGTTTATCCATTCTAACAGAAGACTGGTCTCCAGCTCTTTCAGTGCAATCTGTTTGTCTTAGCATTATTAGCATGCTTTCCAGCTGCAAAGAAAAGGTATATTGCATTTTGTTTTGTTTCTGTTTCAAACAAGCAAACAAGTATGCCTTCACTAAAAACATTGAAACATTTTGATAGTGTCAGTTTAGAAAATTCTATATTGCAACGGAAGCATAAACAACAATAATTCACTAAATAATTCACTAATGCTCTGCTAGGAGCCTGCAAAAAGAGGCTTGAATAGAATAGAACAGAATAGAACAACTCTACCATTTTATTAGGCTAACTTGCATCTTAGTCAATATAAAAAGTTATCCTAACAGAATTTCATAAGTGACTGTAATGAAAATTGCACTTTGAGTAGTGCAAATGCCATGAAAAGCTTTATGGGAGCAAATAGAATGTTTTTTTTTTTTAAAAGAAACTAATGAATCCTAATAAGAAACAAATTATTTTTCTTGCCCTTCATTCATCCAGCTCATTCTTACATCTCAGAAATGCTCATATAGCTACCAGTACATGACTACATACAGACATTTGTGGGGAGGTTAGTGGGGGGAAGGTTAGATCGCATTAAAAATGGCCACCTGGTCTAACAGTTTGCCCAAGTATGGACTTTCAGCTAGTTAGGTAGATCTACTTGCGAACTGTGCAGAAGTTCAGGAAAGTTAGATCCGTCTAAAGCTGGCCAACCTGTTTTAAGTTCAGTATGTTTCTGAGGTGTAGTATAACTTAGGTCAGTCTTGCCAGACCCAGTCTAACTGAACTTCTGTACAGTTCCCAGCACATCCCCAAGGCTGGGAAAGCCCAGCTGCTGGCCCCACCCCTGAGGCCAT